ATCTTCCTGCACAACTGGCCCTACCAGAAGCACATCGTTTAAGGACACTCCGGATGACGTTTTACACGAGGCGTCGAAGACTACTCTGACCTTGGTGGTGGTACTCGCCTCCTTGACCACCGGATGATGGGGAAGATAACACCGTTTGACCGGTCCCTCCGTAGTTTCTTCGACCTTGCGCATGTGTCCCAGTTTCAGGTACTCGTCCATGAATCCGATATATTGTTCCCGTAAGTTGGTGTCCCTTGCCAACCTCCGTTCCGTTCCGAGAAGACGTCGGAATGCGATGTCCCGTGACTCGCCCAGGTTAGGAAGAACGTCTTCGTTTTTGGGTAGGGGAACAGTATAACGACCTTCTGGACCTCTTTGAACTCCACGTTGAAATAATTCTTCACACTTTTTCTCCTCCAGAGAATAAGCGTCCGTGAATTCCACCTCCTCGCACGACCAGAAACGTGCCATCAACTTTTGCAAGTCCTCGGACGTTGAGAAATGGCAGTTGACTTATAGGGATTTGATAGGCGTTGAACAGCCACCACATACTACCCAACCGAACACCGAGTCTGTAAGGCTTGGTAGATGTTTGCCGATTGTGATCCTTCGCCCCGATTCGAAGAATTCGAAGAAAGCCTCGATGCCTAGCACAATGTCGACTTCCTTAGACGTGAAGAATGCAGGATCCGCTAACTCAATTCCATTCGGTAGAATCCACCCTTCCGTGTTGATTGAGGTTGTAGGGAGATTCGCAGTCACCTTGTAGCACTAAAAACCTCATATCTCGCGAGAAATCCGAGATTCGCGAACGTATGACCGCTTGGACTGTATGTTTGACCTTGGTAGCCCCTTGTCCTATACCAAGGACCGAGACGTCAACCTTATTCCTGATTACCTTCACCCTTTGGGTTAACCGTTCCGATGCGAAGTTTCTCTCTGAACCGGAATCAAGAAGAGCACGGGCGTGGTACCTTGAACCAACGTCGTCCTCGACGATGACTACCGCTGTAGCTAAAAGGACTTGCGACGGGAGTTGATTAGACGTACCGCATACCGAAACGTCAGTGGCTGCCACGTTAGCCAGTTTGATTGAATTGGTACCTGAGGAGCCTTGGGATTCCTTGGAATTTGAAGGATGATTGCCCCCAGCAATCGCTGCGACCGTTACAGTGTGATCCTTCTCCGACTTGAAGCAAACCAGGGTGTGATGACGGTTCTTGCAGATCCGACAAGAAAATTTGGATTGGCAATCTTTTGCCTGATGCCCCGATCGAAAGCAATTCTGGCAAAGTCCCTGAGATTTCAGTAGAGAATCCCGATCCGCCACAGAAAGTCTTTGGAATGCGGAACATTGGTATAGAAGGTGGTTGTCCTTACAAGCCACACATCTTCCTCCTGACGATTGAATCGAATTGTAGCTTGCCTTGATTGCTGAAGCTTTCGGTTTCGGTGGTGGTTGTTGCTGATGGACGATCTTGTTGTCCGTCTGCCTAGACGGAAGGGATTCCAGTACTTGCATTCGCTGACGCAGAAATTCGGTGAGGTCTGTCAGTAAATCCATCTCCTTGTTGGCCGAATATTCTTCCCATGCTCGACGAGTTGATGGATCGAGTCGCATCGTGAGCAGATTCACTAATAGGAGATCCTTGTACTCAGCAGGTTCCACGATTTGATCAAGTGTTTGGACAACTCGGTCAAAACCTTCCACCAGATTTCGTAACTCAACAACAGATTCCTTGGAGAGGGTCGGAAGTTTGAAGAAAGATTGGACCTGCTTCTTCTTCAACAGCTTGTTGTTGTTGTACCTCTTTACCAGAGTATCCCAAGCTATCTGGTAATTCGCCTTGGTAATTTTCAGTGGATCGATTAGGCTTTTAGGTTCACCTTGAAGACATCCTTTCAAATAATGAAATTTCTCCATCTCTGGTAAATCAGTCCTCCAGTGGATGAGCGAGGTGAACAGGTCTCGGAAGCTCAACCAGTCATCGATGTCACCGTTGAATGATTGGAGTTTGATCTGCGGTAACCGGACATGACCGACCACACCTGACATTGATTGTTCATGGGCGGACTGTTCCAACTCAGAAGAAACGCGAAGGTCCAACAGGAAGGTTTTGGCTTCATAATAGCGATCGCTCAAGTGCTTGCGTAACTTACTATAATAATTCTCCTCATCCTCGAAGTCTTCATGAGATTTTAGCTCGACCAAATTCTCACTAAATCTCTCCCACAAATCATCGATCCGTTCTAAATGAACTTCGACTTGAGTACCGGTGGTTTCATCAGAAAACTTCTGAATGAAAGACCAAATGTCATCGAACGAGGATTTCAAATCGTCCAATTGAACCCTCAGTTGCTTCAGGGATGACAATCCTTTCCGGGTGGTGGGTGGCATTTTGATGTGATGTCGAACAATCGGTAAAGAAATTGGAGGTGTAGTATTCCGCGATTAGTACTTAGATGGGTGACCGCTTGGGAACGTCGCGTCCAATGTTGCTTAACTTCGGTGATCGGACGAGAACCGGTGTTTTCAACATGGTATGATCGTTGACTTGATCGCGGACAATGTGAACTCCAGAACGTGTGTGTATGCAGGATGCAGTGCGAAGAGGAATAATGGCTATGTAGCAATCGTATGGCTAGCTTCGGTAGGACATATACCGTGCAACTAACCTGGAGGACTAACAGCTTCACCAACCAGAACGAAAAACCAGTCGAGGATGCAAATTGGGGTTTATCAGCAGACTTGCTCTAACGAACAATTCAATTGCAGGGCTTGCGTGGTGGTAATTGAAGAGGATGTACGGGAATTTCAATTAAAATCGTGTATTTCTGTATGCCTACACTGAAAAAAGTTTTCACTTAGTTTCTATTAGGAACGCACATAGTATTTTTCCAAAAACAAAAATAATGATTTTTACCTGAATATCACATAGCTTTAGAAATTCTATATGAGAAATCATATAGATTTCATTGGACACATAACGTTCATGTGATTTAGTGGTGCAATTTCCAATTATGGAATCACATGAAAGTTATGTGAAATTCACATGGATATTTTCCACTGGTTATGTGATTTATTTTATGAGTGTAGCTCAGAAGTGACATATACAATAAAGTTCACTCACCGGGAAGGGAGTAAATGGCCGCTCCCTCTTCTGCCACCGTCCACAGTAATCGTCCTTCAGAAAGTGAAATTCTGGGCTAACGGCTTATGCGGATGCACAACGGTTCCTTCACTGAATCGTCCGTGGTGAGAAGTTGAACGCTGTCCTCAGTCCTCGGTACCACAAGATGCTCCGTTCCATGCAACGAATACAAAGGCATGCGTCGAAAGGTTGGCGTTAGTACATGGTAAGTCAATGCCTCGGCTAGACATACACCGAACTTATAAATAATTACCTGGGCAAAACAGATATTTCTGCTAATTCGGTGCTCCAGCGAAGCAAGGTATGATCAGGGGTTGTTCCAATCGAAAATGCTCTGCATGCACGAAAATCCTCACAGCATCCACAGGTATTCACTATCTGATGCAGTTTCAAATTCCACAATGGATCCTATCCACCTTCCTCCTAGGCGGCGATGGCGCAATTTGTCCACAAAGAAAAACGGTGATTGTCCTATTATTCGTCGATTTGGTGATGGCGATCCACCAAAGTCTCCTTGGATCCGCGATGGCGACGTGCCAATTATGTCCTATCTCGCGATGGCGCTCACTTGGCACTGTTGATTTCGGTTTGGCGCAATTCCGTCCAACTGGTCCCCGGGTTAGGCATCCGGCTCGAAGGACCAAAATGTTGGTTAGTCGGTCCTTACCTCCTTCGATATTCGGCAGTGGAGATCGTGGTAGCTAACTCGAGAGAACTGCAAAGTGAACCGTACACGACGCCGAGCTAAGTAGGACTGCCCGCACTCTTGCTACAGAACAACGCGAACCCCTTCGCACTCCACACACACATGTATATTCAAATCCACTACCACAGAGATGATCCGCCGACTCCAACACTGATTGGGAAATACCAGTTGGCTTAGTACCGCCAACGTTTGTTTTGGTGATGGCGTTTTTGGGGGAAGCGAGGTTGCGGGGAATCCAATTGCTTGCTGGTTAAAATGGGGTCACAGTCCTTCCAATGTTGGTTCGGATACTTCTGGGTTCAACACTAAACAAACACTCGCGGGGTGGGTTTTAAATTTCAGAGTTTACACAAAAACTACATTTATCACATTTAGTACATTGACTACACTAATGACATTTAATGGTATATTAATAAAAAAAGCTCTTCATCTCCGATGGAATACAAACATTCTATGCAGCGACCGAAAACAACTGGCTCTCGTCTCCTGATCTGATCATCGCTTGACCCGTGACCGCGTAGAACAAATCTCCCTCTCACGTTCTCCGTCCGATCGGTCCAACTTCGCTTCAAACAGTTCTATGCTCTTCGTTGGTCATCTCAGCTGCTGCTCGATGTCCGCCGACCGACGATGATCGCTATCCCTTACGTGTTACGTACAGGACAATAGACACATCTCGACTCGTAGGTGCTCGTAGCCTATTCACTCGTGCTTTGTTGAAGATCAGCTGTAGCAGCGATGGTAATATTCCAGGGTTGTAGTATGCTGGGGGTCTTACTCTCGTACAGATATTAACTACAACCTTTTTGAATAACTCAAATGTGTATATCTTATGCATGATGAACCGGGGCGAACAGAACTTACATTCACTGAAAAACAGTAACAAGTTCTGCCCGCTCTAGTTCGTCATGCATAAGAGGTACAGATTTGAGTTATCGACAAAAGTTGTAGTTAATATCAAAACGTACAAAAGTTTCATGCATCATTTAACGGAATTTTGTTGATGGAAAAAGTTAGAGGCAAATGAATGTAAATGAATGCACGAAATGAATGTAAATGATTTGCCATGCCTGATCCTTATAATTATGAACATATATTCCGCATATATTTAGAATGTTCCCATCTCAAACATACATTTTCCTTTCTTTCAGAAAAAGCAATCCGCGCGGGAAAAACCGATCCCATTCAACGAGAAGTTGCTTTCATCTAGTCAAACCACGGTTACAGTCAGTCCGGCCGAGGACGAAAGCTGATAGTGCAACAGTGAAATATGTCCAGCAACCGCAGCAACAATAACAACAAAAGCAGATTGACCCACCAAGTCCCCGTTGGTGATTCGTGTACATTTCTGAGAACTTTCTCGAATCTAATTATGTTCGTCATGAAAACTGGAAGAGAAAGGGTAATGAGGACTTGCGAGGGTTGAGCAAGCTGAGTAAACTCCAAAGCACAAGTCTAGCATTGTGCACAAATTTTAACACGCAACAAAAGCACCACGGCAAACAACAAAGAACACACAAAAATCAAATCACTTCGTTTCGAACTTTTACGGTAGCGAACCAACCCTGAGACTACCCCTCGAATCCGCGCTTTTTCTTCGTTTATAGGAGGAAAAGGTGAAATCGAAACACACAACCATAGGAATCCGTACATGCATAGACAGTTACTAACAGTTAAGCAGGATAAAAGTTGAAACGAATAATTCGTGGAAACCAAGCGCACCGAAAGGAGTAAGTGAGGTGCTTGTTGATAGGAGATTTTTTTTCAAGGGTTGTTTTATTAGGAACATTTTATTTCTCTAACCAGACGCACGAAAAGCACAATAGCAGCAGCAGCAGCAGCAGTGAGGATTTGTTATTTATTTTAACAAGAATTTAGAATATGTTTTAACTAATTAGTTTTGCGTTTTTCTGTACATAATCGTTTCTTAATGCTAGTTGAAATAATTTCCTCCTGGGATTTTCGTTCCTCTTTCCGCGCTCAAAGTGTTGTAGGTAGCATTTTTTATGTCTCAAAAAGCAATGTGATTTTTATACTTTGATTTTAGAATCGGCAAGCGATTGCACATACACACAGACACGCGTGTGTGATGAGATTGGAATGAGACGCATAATAATTGTACATTGCTAACAATGTATCCAAAATAGAATTAACATTAAGCAAGTTGAAAGGAAAGGATAAACCACTCATGGAAGTTTTTGTAAGGGTTGATGAAAGTTCCGAACAAAAACAGAGCATAAACAAGCTTTTGATCCTTCTTCCACCCGCCGGCGCGGGCAGGGAAGCAGAGATGTGATAGCAAGCGAAAAATGAAGCTTACCTTTTTTGAAGCAAATCAAGCTTTTATAGAGAAAACTAAGTAACGCAACAGGAGCAACAACAACAAGACGAACGCCCGATGGTACTACTCCTGATTCGAAGAAACTAAATAGGATCGTTCTAATTGTAGAGGAAAATAAAAAGGGCGAAGCATAAACGGTGCACAAAACGGTTGCAACCCAATATCCTATAGGAACAAGTTATAGGCCGTCGAGAAATCATGTAGAAAATGACAATTTCAGTCATACAGCCATATACATACTCATTTGAGAATAGAGAGCAGACAATTAACGAAAGCACAAAACTTTTCCCGCTATTATCACACATCTAGATTTAAATTGCACACACACACACTCACACAAACACGTAACTTTTGCAGAAGTTTTTGCATTGCATCTCATTGTCATTCGCACTCAGGATCACTCATTCACTTATTCCTACGACCTACCCTTCAACTAAACCTGCACAGTAGAAATGGAATGCCACTTTGGAGGGGTAGCAGGAAAAGGCACTGAGAGTCAGTTTAGCTAACCTGCGGGTAGTTACCAAACCTTCTCATGTGACAGATTGAAATAGTTGATTTTGTGATGGAAGTTTAGGGGTGCTACGGGTTAATTTACCAGCTTTGCATTATCATTATTCAAAATGTTCGAATTCATCCTCGAATGCAGTGGACTCTTTATGAATCATAGATCCGGTTAAAATCTCTCTTGAAGCATAGTACACTCAAAAAAGTTCACACGTCCGATCGAAGTGTTCAAACACTTGATTTTTCAAATGCACAATCACACTTATTTTAAGTGTATTTCACCATGATTAAATGTGTTATACACGTTGATTTCTAGAGTTTGAAGCTTTGAAATATTGAAAAACTTTCACTGTCAATGCAAGTGTATTACACATTGAATCACAGTACTGTTCAAATGGATTTGAAGTGTTTTGCATTTCAATGTGAAGTGAATTGCTTGTTCTGCAAGGTGAACATTGAAAAAATGAGTTATGACTTCATCCTTATCAACCAGCTTCATTTATGAGAACAGCCGTGACCCAGTGAGATCGAACGAAGACAACGGCAGCAACACACCCCCAACAGTCCAGGATCGAATCCCAAATCAGACCCATTAAAAAAAGCATGTGTATATATATTTTATAACGTTTTCAGAAATGTCTACATACGAATGAGTAAAAGTGAACCGTTTTCAGTGTAGAAACTTGAATTAATTGACTCAGTTTAATTATGGAGGCGAGCAAAAAATCAGACCTACATGTAGTGTTGGTAAAATATCAAAATATCGATATCGCACCTCCGGAATATCAAGCTGCAAAACTCACCAAATTGAGTGGTGGGATTGAGTTTCATAATTTTTGCTTTACATCCGAACGCAACCGAAACTTCTATAACGGCTGGTAGCAGTCGCTTCGTGTCTGCCATCGGTGAAGAGAAAAAAAAGAGATAGCATTATTATACCTTCTCTTTCTAAGAAAACGAGGTGCCCTGCAACGGAATCATTTTTGCGTCGATTCTACTCTCAGCTTCATTTTTACACGTTGTTAATAGTCTCGTAAGTCTCGTGAGAGCAGCTAATGATTATGCCATCACTGCCTATATGGCCGGTGGACAAGTTCTCGATGGAGAAATGCGATCCGATGCACGTGAGGTGATATCATACCAGATTTTCGCTCGTGCAGTAATTCCATAATGTTTCCGTAATTGATCGATAGGATATCCGGAATTGGCCCCATAAGGCCATAAGGTTTTGTAGGCCCTTGTGTTGAAACTACGAACAATCCCAGTAGTGGGAGTCATGTACCTATAAGAGAGAAGCGACTTCAGGCAGATTCTTCTTGAAATCAAGATGGCCGCTGTTCGCTTGGCTCCAGTCTTCACGAAACATAGACGGCGTTGAGCTTGAGTTTCAATTTCTTCAGTGCACGTTCATTGAACGCGCGTGTTACCTTTCGAACTCAGGTGTACTCTGCACATCGAACGGGATACTTCGTACCTGCACGCAAGTGTGTACATTGAGGGTTGCTATGTTGCAATAGAAAGGGCAGACGAAATCGATGGACGCTCCCAGACGATCTTTGATATACATTTGTAAGCACTCAGTGCTTTCAGCGCTGCTTGACTAGGGGAATATACGTATTCTCGGCAACCTAAGCAGCGACCATCTTTCCATAGCCTTTTTCTCTGAGGAACGCACACATATGCAGTATTGGTGTGTTAACAATCTTTTGCTGCCAGCTGCTCTAACAATTCCAGTCGAAAGAATTGTCAAAAACTGTTTTGAAACGCTTTTACAAAGCTCCAATCTTCTCTAGTGAGAGCGACTATTGTGGGCAACATCATTTTATTCGGCAACCTTTCTATTTGAGCTGCGTGTTAAACTGCTGTGTTTTCATCGGCAACTCGAAGTCAGCAGCATTTTATAGTGCGTGTGTTTAATTTCAAGAAAACCCTGCTAGATTGCTTTTTCTCAGTAGTAAAAATATAATCAATTTGAAGCTGAAAGTCTAAAGAATCGTTTTGATGCATTCAGCGAAGTGTTTTGAAAATCCAGTGTAATTTGCGTTTCAATTAGGGTTGCCGAAAATAGTCTGTCATGCCGAAGCCGTCATTTCCCCTATAAAAAAAATACAAATATCTGCACATCTGCATTTCGTCCTCATACAAACATGTACACATTTAAGTATGGCTACAATTTCCGCTTGAAACACTGTTGGAAAATGTCCCATCGCAAATGAAATATTTGTCCTGGGGCCAACGATTCCAGCACCTGTTCGTATTCCAATTTTTGAGCCATCTGTGAAAAATATGTTTGAGCCTTGACGAACGTTAGGACCACCAGTTTTCCCATCCGAACGTGCCGTTTCACATTCGTTGATGGGAATTTCATAGGTGTCCTCTGGTTTCAACCAGAAGTATTGTGCTAAGATGACCAACAAGATCACCTGGCATGACTTTTTTTTAGATCTTTTGAGCCTTAGAGCACTTCTTTCCGCTTCTAGTTGCACACGTTTATGCAAGGGCAGCAGATTGAGGATTGCCTCTAATGATTTTGATGGAGTGCTACGCGCACCGCACCCGTTATTGCAATGCATGCTAGACGTTGAAGTTTTGCTAGTTTCCTCTGTGCAGTAGCCTCTTTTGATTTTGGCCACCACACTAATGGAGCATAAGCTACTTTCGGACGGATTATTGATGTGTGCATCCACATTGTCATTTTTGGATTCAAACCCCACTTTCTTCCAACAGTTGTTGTTTTCTCTGCAATGTTGGACTAACGAGGCGATCTCCGGGGGAGACACCTCAGGAGTATCACCAGGAAAATAAGCCGAAGAAACTACTATCTCGGTTTCCCCCCTGGTGGTTGGTACCTCAACCATGATTTCGACGTTTGATGAATTCTGAAATAGGGTAACATTTCAATGTTTTACTAACTAGAATAGCAGTTCTGGGTGAACTTTGCTTTTCATCATAGTATAACTTACATGCTTTTATGTCGATTCCGTGTATTTTTCCTCTATTGGACCATGGCTCTTGAATGGGTGCCATGTCCAGCTCCTTCTTTTTGAACCTCCGACCCAATACAGCTGAAGCACCTTTTGCATGGTGGAGGTTCGCTTGCAGGAACTTGTTTATTGGTCCACTCATTTTTGCCTTTAGGGCGAGCGATAGACCCATCGTTTGATGTTCGAGTTTTGATTTTCCTGAGCTGCGTTTCACCAAAACGGAAGTTCAGCACCAAGTTACGTTCCGCTAGTGTCTTAAGCGAGCTTGAATCAACGTGTAGTGTCCATTCGGCATGTTTATTTACGTTGAAACGATTCAGTATGTTCCAGCCTTTCGTGCTTAAGTCGTCATTTTGACTCTCGGTGAGTCCCTTATAGGGTGCTAATGAGCCAGCTAATAGCAAAAAGCTCAACAGCCTAATGTAAACAGGGCATCAGCGTCTACCAGCATGAGCTTTCAGGAGCAACTGAAATTCGTGCTAGTTGGCAAGTACACTAGCGCTAACAAATCCGCACAGATTTAAACACCCCATTAAGCCTCTCATCGCTGAATTCGGCACTTAGGGGCGTGGAATAAATCCGGACGAGAGACCTCCTTATCGTCCAGGGCAAAGAGTACCGCATTTTCCCAAGGAGTAAGAAACTTCGTCACTTCCTTTAGCCACGTCACTGTTGCTTGGTCCTTACAAACTGTAGTTGCATTTGGTGAATTTCGGTTTTATTACTTCATGCCTTTGCTCTTCGATTTTGAGAAGCATCATCAAGTTGTGCCGTGGACATTTGCTGTTTTATCTTTTACGATTATTCCAATCTTGATCAGACTAGCAACATCCTTGTAGGAGCGACCACCTGAGTTTGAATCAGCTGACGGGCCTTTGGGGGATGCTGAACCTCCCCCACTTCCATCAGCCTTTCCGTTTCTCTGGTCTGCCTCCTCCTTGGATTTAGTCTGATCGCCAATATTGGATAATCCAGCACGCGTTTTAGGACAAAGATTTGACTTAGTCCTTTTAACGTTTGGTTTTTCCCCACTGCTACCTTGATCGCCATCTCTCGATCGTTCTGCAGGGTTTGGATTCCAAGGATCAGCATTAACAAATACTCAATACTCATTCCCGATTCTAACAATTTCTAAATTTTATAAGCCAAAAATTTCGAAATACTTTTGCGCTACTTGATTTTCAACGCATTTACAGTGGAAGAGTTACTTGCACTTCCACTGACGGTAATCGGCTTGATGGTGACATTTATTCCATCGTCAACATCGTCAACGTCTCTTTCGAATCATCTCGGTTTGGTGTATCAAGAAAGATGGATTTCCAAGAGCTCCTCGGTACCAACGGTTGTCCCTGTCTCCATATCTTCAGATAGGATCGGGCAGTTTGATGTATTTCTGTCTACAGAATCCATGCTGAACTCCAACAATTTCGGTATTATTGATTCCGAAAAGCAACGATCTATACAGCTGGAATAATAATAATACAGTAGAAACTAAATTAAACTCAAAACCTACTAGAAAACTTTAAAGAAACGGTTATGAATATTAGGTTTGTTTATAAAACCTTCCGAAATTAATTAATGTTTTATTAAAGCAAACTTGAATTCTCACATTGAGCTCTTGAATTGGAATGACAGCGAAAAATACCAGGAGTGACCAGCTCAGGTTATCCAACGACTACTTGGATTTCACCCCCTCTCGCTTGGATAGTCCCAGCATCGTCCGAAGTTCCTCAAATCGTCCGACGTCCAACGATTTAGTGAAGAAGTCAGCCAACTGGTTGTTGCTGGCAATCGGCTCCACCAATAGCTTACCAGCAGTGACATGATCACGAAGAAAATGGTGTTTAATGTCGATGTGTTTGGCTCTCTTACTCTCCAAGTTATTGGTCATACCAATGCATCCACGGTTGTCCTCGTATATGGTGATTGGTTCAATGTTCATCTCACCGAGATCGCCTAGAACACCGACTAGTCATATTGCTTCCGATGCTGCAGCACTCAATGCTACATATTCAGCTTCGCTTGAAGAAGTTGCAACTGTTGTTTGCTTCTTGCTTGACCATGCAACAGTACATCCGAAAACACGGAAAACAAATCCGCTTACTGATTTCCGGTCGTCAGTATCGGTGGCCCAGTCTGAATCAGCAAACCCGATGAGTGGCGCCGCTTGATTGTCTCGAGTAAACGGCAAGTAACACTCCATCGATCCTTTTAAGTATCGTACAACCCGTTTTACAGCTGTCCAATGTTGCTGTTGAAGTTGGAATCTCCCCCGATATCCGATAGGAAAGCAAATGTCCGGCCTTGTGGACATCATCACGTACAGCAGGCTTTCCAATAATTCACGGTACGGTTCTTGAACACCTTCGGCCACTTGACGATCCAATTTCAATCCTTTCTCCATTGCCGAACTTCTGCAAGATCTTTTCCAGGCTGGTTTCTTGAGACAGCATCATTCTACCATTTTGTTGATCGTACCGTATCTTCATCCCAAGAAAGTGAGTCAACTCTCCACAATCGGTCATTTTAAACATCGCCGACAGTTCGCGTTTTAGCTTCATTATGGTGGTCAGCTGCATACTTGCTATCAGGAGA